GTATAGCTAAAGATTTGTCAATTTTGTTGATCTTTTCAGTGACTCAACTTTTGGTTTTGTTGGCTTTCTCTCTCTTTTTTATTATCTATTTCATTTATTGTCACTCGAATCTTTTATTATTTACTTCCTTCTGTTAGCTTTGGGTTTAGTTAGCTCTTTAGTGGCTCTAGTCTATTTTTTCATTTCTTCTTCTAGATTTAGTCTTCTTTTTGCAGTTCCTTAAGGTAAAATATAAGATTATTGATTTGAGATCTTCCTTTTTCTACAAAGCTGTAATTTTTTCTCTCAGCATTGCATTTGCTGCATCCTTTAGGTTTTGGTGTTTGTTTGTTTTCATTTGTCTCAGGTATTTCCTAATTTCCCTTGTAATTTCTTCTTTAGCCCATTGTTTGTTTAATTTTTACCTATTTGTGAATATTCTAGTTTTCCTTCTATTATGGATTTCTAGCTTTGTTCCATCTGGTCAGAAAAGATTCTTTGTATGATTTTGGTCTTTTAAAATATTATTAAGACTTATTTTTTGGCCAGTCTTGTTTTGTGGTCTATCTTGAGGAATGTTCCATGCGCGTTTGAGAAAAATGCATAGTTTCTGTTGTTGGGTGGAGTGCTCTATATATGTCTATTAGATATAATTGGTGTGTGGTTTTGTTCTAGTCCAATATTTTCTTATTTATCTTCTCTGTGTTTCTATCTATTATTGAAAGTGGTGTATGAAGTCTCCAGCTATTATTGTAGGGATGTCTATTTTTCCCTTCAATTCTGCCAATGTTTGCTTTATATTTTGGGGGGCTCTGATATTTGGTGCATATATGTTTATCATTTTATATATACTTAGTGAATTGACCCTTTTATTAATGTACTTTCTTCTCTTTCGTAACAGTTTTTTTTTTTTTTTCCTTTTTGTCTTTTTTCATGACTGGCAACGGATCGCAACCCTCAGTGTCGCACCCGTACCGGGCCGGGACCGGCCACGGGATCGCAACCCTTGGTGTTGCTCCCACCCCTCGCTCAGCCAGTGAGCGGCCGGTCTGTATGTGGGATCCGAACCCTCGGCGGGAGCGCCACCACACTTCCCAATCGGCGCACTATAGCAGTGCGCCACCGGGCCGGCCCCTCTCGTAACAGTTTTTGACTTGAAGTCTATTTTATTTGATATTATTTTAGCTACCTCAGCTCTCTTTTGGTTACTATTTGCGTGGGATATCTTTCTATATCCTTTTTGTGTCTTTAGATCTAAAGTTAATTTCTTGTAGACAGCATATAGTTGGATTATTTTTGAAAATCCATTCTGCCAATCTATGCCTTTTGATTGGAGAGGTTATCTATTTACATTTAAAGTGATTGCCGATGAGGAATGACTTATTTCTGCCATTTTGCTATTTGTTTTCTGTATGTCTCATAGCTTTTTTGACCCTCGTTTCCTCCATTGCTGCCTTCTTTTTGTTTAGTTGTTTTTGTCATAACACATTTTGATTCCTATAGTAGATTGAATGTCCTCCCAAACTCATTGAAGCTTGAATTATGTCCCCCAAGTTTTATGTATTAGAAACATTATGGAAGTTGAAATGTGGGGCCTTGAGGAGGTGATTAGATTGTAGGACCATGCCGTAGTGAATGGATTAATAATGATGGTCAGGGTTCTGAGGGCTTTAAAAGAAGAGCACTTGAGAGGTTGGTCTCTCTTTGCTCTGCCATTTTCTGCTATATGAGACCCCTTTTCTCTGCTCCACTATTTTCTGCCATGTGAGACCCCTGAGTTACTGTTGCTACCACCAAGACCCTGACCAGATGTGTTCCCTGGACTTTGGACTTCCTACCCTCAGAAACCCTGACCAGATGTGTTCCCTGGACTTTGGACTTCCTAGCCTCAGAAACTGTAAGCAATAAATTTCATTTTCTTATAGATCACCCAATTCCAGGTATTTTGTTATAAGCAACAGAAACAGACTAATACAATTCCCTTCTCATTCCCTTTTTTTGTATATTTTATAAACATTTTCTTTATAGTTACCATGGGGATTACATTTAACATCCTAAAGTTTTGATACCAACTAAAGAATTGATACCAACTTAACTTCAATTACATACAAAAACTATATTCCTATATAGCTCCACACCCCTTCTCCAGCCCCTGTGTAGACCACAGGTATGTAGGGCAATGTACCTGTTCTGTGCCCATGGGGATCCTGTGCCCTCATACTTGCCTACCTCCACTTCACCCTTCAGCTTTAAAGGCCTTTTCTTCTAAGGAATGTTTTAGTGAGAATAGGGTGCAACAATGATGCTTTAGTAGTGATTCTGAAGGAAAAGACAAAGGAAAAAGCATTTCCAGCTCCCTGGGAGGGCTCGCTGGCTTGCCGTTGGAGAAAGCTTCTTAAGGCCTTGTAGAGATGCTCTGTCCCGTGATGATACCTGCGCAGGCCACACCGAGCCCTGTGTCCCTGCATCTGCACCGCTGAGCAGAGTTGCAGAGCCNTCTAGCTTTGTTCCATCTGGTCAGAAAAGATTCTTTGTATGATTTTGGTCTTTTAAAATATAATTAAGACTTATTTTTTGGCCAGTCTTGTTTTGTGGTCTATCTTGAGGAGTGTTCCATGTGCATTTGAGAAAAATGCATAGTCTCTGTTGTTGGGTGGAGTGTTCTATATATGTCTATTAGATATAATTGGTGTGTGGTTTTGTTCTAGTCCAATATTTTCTTATTCATCTTCTCTGTGTTTCTATCTATTATTGAAAGTGGTGTATGAAGTCTCCAGCTATTATTGTAGGGATGTCTATTTTTCCCTTCATTTCTGCCAATGTTTGCTTTATATATTTTGGGGCTCTGATATTTGGTGCATATATGTTTATCATTTTATATATTCTTAGTGAATTGACCCTTTTATTAATGTACTTTTTTCTCTCTTGTAACAGTTTTTGACTTGAAGTCTATTTTGTTTGATATTATTTTAGCTACCTCAGCTCTCTTTTGGTTACTGTTTGCATGGGGTATCTTTCTATATCCTTTCATTTTGAACCTTTTTGTGTCTTTAGATCTAAAGTTAATTTCTTGTAGACAGCATATAGTTGGATTATTTTTGAAAATCCATTCTCCCAATCTATGCCTTTTGATTGGAGAGGTTATCTATTTACATTTAAAGTGATTGCCGATGAGGAATGACTTATTTCTGCCATTTTGCTATTTGTTTTCTGTATGTCTCATAGCTTTTTTGACCCTCGTTTCCTCCATTGCTGCCTTCTTTTTGTTTAGTTGTTTTTGTCATAACACATTTTGATTCCTATAGTAGATTGAATGTCCTCCCAAACTCATTGAAGCTTCAATTATGTCCCCCCAAGTTTTATGTATTAGAAACATTATGGAAATTGAAATGTGGGGCGTTGGGGAGGTGATTAGATTGTGGGACCATGCCGTAGTGAATGGATTAATAATGATGGTCAGGGTTCTGAGGGCTTTAAAAGAANTTTTGATTGGAGAGGTTATCTATTAACATTTAAAGTGATTGCCGATGAGGAATGACTTATTTCTGCCATTTTGCTATTTGTTTTCTGTATGTCTCATAGCTTTTTTGACCCTCGTTTCCTCCATTGCTGCCTTCTTTTTGTTTAGTTGTTTTTGTCATAACACATTTTGATTCCTATAGTAGATTGAATGTCCTCCCAAACTCATTGAAGCTTGAATTATGTCCCCCAAGTTTTATGTATTAGAAACATTATGGAAGTTGAAATGTGGGGCCTTGAGGAGGTGATTAGATTGTAGGACCATGCCGTAGTGAATGGATTAATAATGATGGTCAGGGTTCTGAGGGCTTTAAAAGAAGAGCACTTGAGAGGTTGGTCTCTCTTTGCTCTGCCATTTTCTGCTATATGAGACCCCTTAGTTACTGTTGCTACCACCAAGACCCTGACCAGATGTGTTCCCTGGACTTTGGACTTCCTACCCTCAGAAACTAAGCAATAAATTTCATTTTCTTATAGATCACCCAATTCCAGGTATTTTGTTATAAGCAACAGAAACAGACTAATACAATTCCCTTCTCATTCCCTTTTTTTGTATATTTTATAAACATTTTCTTTATAGTTACCATGGGGATTACATTTAACATCCTAAAGTTTTGATACCAACTAAAGAATTGATACCAACTTAACTTCAATTACATACAAAAACTATATTCCTATATAGCTCCACACCCCTTCTCCAGCCCCTGTGTAGACCACAGGTATGTAGGGCAATGTACCTGTTCTGTGCCCATGGGGATCCTGTGCCCTCATACTTGCCTACCTCCACTTCACCCTTCAGCTTTAAAGGCCTTTTCTTCTAAGGAATGTTTTAGTAAGAATAGGGTGCAACAATGATGCTTTAGTAGTGATTCTGAAGGAAAAGACAAAGGAAAAAGCATTTCCAGCTCCCTGGGAGGGCTCACTGGCTTGCCGTTGGAGAAAGCTTCTTAAGGCCTTGCAGAGATGCTCTGTCCCGTGATGATACCGGCGCAGGCCACACCGAGCCCTGTGTCCCTGCATCTGCACCGCTGAGCAGAGTTGCAGAGCCCACATTTGGGCCTCCTCTGCAGTCTGTGCCTCCCCAGGCCCCAGCTATTTCCAGGTGGCCCCGTGGGCAGCCCCATGGAAAGCCAATTCTTAACTCCTCTGAGTTTATTTTCTGTGATAAGTTCCTGGGCATAGAAGAAGGGCCTGAGGTTGTGGCCCTTTCTGGCTGTTTCTCAGCTCATCTGAGTGGGTTCTTATTGCACCCGCCCATTTCCATCTTATGCTGGGGTGGGTGGGCTGGGGGGGCAGCTCTGGGCTGGGTGCGATGCCTACCACATACATGGGCTGAGGTATCCGTGATTCTTGGTTGGCACTGAGACTGCTGTCTCTGGTCCCTCTTGGGCTGTGATGGCACATGCCCTATGCTTTCACTTTGTTTCAGATCAGACCTACTCTGACCGTCTAGTGCAGGACACACCCTTCCTGACAGGCCACGGGCGCCTGAGCGAGCAGCAGGTGGACAGGATCATTCTCCAGCTGAACCGCTACTACCCACAGATCCTCACCAACAAGGAGGCGGAAAAGGTGCTGAGGAGGTGAGGGTGGGGGTGTGTGGGAAGCCTCTTAGTTTCCACCCCTTTCTGCACTGAGAGAAGCCACCAACTGGCTTGGGTCAGCTTCTGATGGAATAATGTACCAGGTGTGTCAGCACAGCTTGGAGGTGACACACCTGGGCCTGGGCACCTGGGCTGCCTAAGGTCAAATCTGTCTCTCTGGAATGACCCAAAATGGGCCCAGAACATCAGCTGTTTGTGCCTCAGTTTGTCCATATGTTATCAGGCCTGCTGACGCCTTCTAGAGTTTCTGGGAGGGTTATAGGAGACAACATGTGACAACACAAAATGGCACATGACAGTACAAGACAGGGGGAGGGGTGGAGCAGACGGAGGGCAGAGGCAGGAGGCGAGTCCTCATGCCACAGTGAGGCTGGTGCCACTGGGAATCTCAGGTTTCCCCTCTGTGAAATGCATGGCGAGAGCCCCGTGCTCACAGGTTGTGGTGAGGACTGGCCCACCCGAACCAGGTAAACAGCTGCCCAAGTGCTTTCCTCCCTGGACTGTCCTTGGTTTCTCATCGCAGCCCTGCATGTAGCCATAGTCACTGCCCCATTCTACAGAGAAGGCTGCTGGGGCTCAAGAGCCAGTCACTTGCTCAGGGTTGCCCATCTCAGGACGGTCAGGCCATGTCTTGAGCCCACGGGGAGGTGCCCAGGGCGACGGCTGTTGCTGTGTCACAGGGCTCTGGCCTCTCAGAGCTGCTGACTTGGCCATGCACACTAGCTCTGCTGGAGATGGCATTTAAGATGCAGTTCCTGGGCTCGGTCCCGAGATGTCTAGTTCAGCCCAATCCCCAGCACTGGGTGACCCTCAGGGGTGCTTCAGGTTTTGGGGTCACTGGAGGAGACAGTTGGGCATGCATTGCCTACCCCACCCACCCCTGCCAGCTCTGGTCACCAAGACTGGAGTGGCCGAGCAGTGTGTGCCAGAGACCCGCTAGGCCTTTGGGGCCCAGGTCCTGGCCACCCACTACCCCCTTGAGTGACACTGAGTAAATTCCTTCTCCTCTTAGAGCTGCAGTTTACTCACGTGGTGTGGGGCTCAGTGCCACCTGCAGGGCTGTCCTGGGGTCGGGCCTCTCCTGGGACAGGCGAGGTTGGTCCACAACAGAACAGGAGTCAACACAGGCCCTACTGCTGGCTCAGACATCTCTTACGTTATGAAAGTAGCACAGCAATTTAAAAAGTTATGAGCTCAAACTCACCCATCATTGTAATTAGAAGTCTAATGCATGTTCATTTTTTAAAATTTTGAAAAGCTTTAGACATTTATACAAGAAAGGGGAGGCCTCCGTGTGCACACGCCTTTCCGCAGCACCTGTGGCGCCTGCTGCCGTCTGCTTTCCCGTGCAGTTTCCACGCGGCTGTTCACTGCCACTCCCTGTAGCCGTGTAGAACGGTGCTCCGCCACCAGGTGGCAGCATGAGGCCACAGTCTGCTGCTCGTGCGGGTCAATGCCAAGTGCCCTGTCCACGACCTTTAGAACCACATGTTTCTTTGTCAAACACATCAAAAGAGGCCATTCCTGTCTCCACTTATTTTTTAAGTACTTGAATCAGGGTCGTGCAGACTGCAGCACAGTGGCAGCTCTCACTCCCTCCCTCATCTTGTGAATTCCCTGCCATGTGGGTTTGTTATTCCCCTCTACAAATGAAGAAACCTAGTCTCAGAAGCGTGAAGTGACTTGCCAAGGTCACACAGGTAGCTACACTAAGTCCCAACGCCTGGAATGATGTCACCTGCCTTGTGCTTTCTTTGTGACCTCTCCCAGCCTCGATTTTCCACCTCCCACCCACAAGGAGTGTGAGGATTAGTGACAGTGCCTGTGACCGTGCTGTGTTGGGCACCACAGGGGTGTGGGTAAGGGGTCGTGGCTGTCGCAGTTTCTGCCTTTCGGTGGGTTTCCTGATACCCGATGAGGGAGCTGCGTCTGGGGGTCCTAAGCTGGCACCCCACCCTGACCCACAGCATCCCCCTCGGGCCTGACCTTCCCTTGCTGCCCTTGTGCCCCCAGTTCCGGAACCCCAAGGTATCCCTGCGCATGCGGCTGTGTGACCTCCTGAGCCACTTGCAGCGGAGCAGCGAGCGTGACTGCCGGGAGTTCTACCGAGCGCTGTACATCCATGCCCAGCCCCTGCACAGCAGTCTGCCCAGCCGCCACGCCCTGCGTGAGTCCGCACCCCCACTGCCCACTGGCCCAGGGGGCCACCCAGGCCGGCTGTGATGGTGTGGAGGTCTTCAGTGGTCACCTGAGTCTGCAGCCGCCCACGCCTGGGCATCTCCTCCCCTAAGCCCCTCTTTTCTAACCTCATTCACCGTGCGGATCCCTTCATTTCCGTGCAGGTGACAGCCTTGTTTCCACAGCTGCATGGTGCTCCTAGGAGGTCCCAGCCTGGAGTTTCCCAACCACACAGCAGCCACTGAGGTTGTGTCCACCTTTCACGCTAGCGATCTGCACACGTGTGGGTGTTTCTGTAGGTGTCTTCGGGCAAAGATGGCTGGTCAAAGGACCATGCCTTTCAGTTTAGAGGGACCCATCCTTCAAGCAATGAGCACTTTGGCCCCAGGAGACTTGTGAGTCCCAAGGTTCTGAGGCTGCCAGGACCAGGAGGGTACAGTGAGGCTGAGATGGCAACTCTGATCCGAGGCCTCTGTGTTTGGGGCCCTGGGAGGAGGGGCTGCTATCCCTCAGTCCTCGGATCATGGGATGGAGCCAGAGGGACTGGGTGGCTCACCCCAAGCCACTCAGCTGGTACCCGGCCAGTGTCTCTGACTCCGAGGAGGCCTCAGCCTCACCAGATGCAGTGAAGACGCTGGGCAGGGGAGGGATCAAGGGCAGGACCATTCCCCAGGGAGCCAGCGGGCCAGCAGGGAGGACTGATTCTCCCTCCCCAGCCATAGTGCTCCACACGGATCTTCCAAAATACAGATGGGGTCAAGCCACACCCTGCTGGAGGTAGATGCCCCCAGGGCCTGTCTATCAGGTTGGCTGGCTGGATAGGTCCCATGGAAAGTCTGGGGAGAAAGCCCCCTGCCCAGGTATGCCTGGTAAGGCAGCCGCCACAGTGACACCAGTCAGGCTCTCGACGGTGGGTGTTCCTCCTGCATTGGTGCCTTGTGGCCACCAGGGAACAATGACCCCTTCCCACATCCAAGGCCTTGAAGTTACAGAACTGGACCAGAGCAGAGGACACAACTGTGCAGGGCTCCTCGAGGAGGGCTGGCTTCACGGTGCCATGGCCTGGTCTGGCCCAGCACCATGTGGTAGCTGTGTGGGTGCCCGGTGGCCCCAGTAGGCAGCAGTGGCCTTGGGTCCCCTGCAGTGGTGACTACCTTGCTCTCTGGCCTGGCCCACAACTAACCATGCTCTGTGATTTTGTTTCCAGAGAACTCAGATTGCACAGAGCTAGACAGGAGCGGCGAGCTGAGCGACAGGGGTAACGCCTCCTCGCTGCCCTCCCCTCCCTCTCTCTCCTCCCTCCCCAGGGCTCCGTCTGCACCTCAGGGGGCTTCTCCGCCCCAAGTCAAGCTCCATTCCTGGCTTTCTGTCGGTGGACAGCCCCCTGAGGGGCTTGCTGGGGGGCTCTTTAGGCAGCACCCCCACCTGGCATCCCCATGCCCTGTGCAGCCCCTGGGCCTCAGGACCCTTACCTGCCCTGCAAGGCCCACGGGGCCCCTGTTCACGCTTGTTTCTCCCCAGGACCCATGAGCTTCCTTGCCGGCCTGGGCCTGGCTGCAGGACTGGCCCTCCTCCTCTACTGCTGCCCTCCAGGTGGGTCAGGTGGGCCTCACGAGACCCCGAGCAGAGCAGGCGCCAACTCAGGCCTGCCTGCCCTCAGCTACCAATCTGGGGCTGCCAGGACAGGGCCCCCAAACCCTGCACACATCGGGCCCCCAAACCCTTGGCCTCTCCATGCCTCACTTTCCTCACCTGTGCAGAAGGACAGTGTCAGCACCCACCTGGCAGGGCTCATGAGAAATAAGGTGTGGAGTCCCCAGCCCTTGGTGGCCCCAGCTGCTCCCTGCGGTCAGAGAATGATGACCCCTAAGGGGAGAAGGGGGACAGCATGGCTCTGGGGGTTAGAAACCCCTGTCATACCTGTGATCTTGAGCCACACTGTGACCTGGAGTTTTACCTGTGACCTGGGGTCATGTATGTGTCTTTGAGCACACCTGTGACCTTGAGCCACACTGTGACCTTGAGCCATACATGTAACCTAGAGCCATGCAGTGACCTTGAGCCACATGTGGCTCTTGAGCAGGTTACCTCCCCCCAATCCTTGGATCTCTGCCCAGTGTCACAGGCATGGTGGGCAGGAGGTCCCTGAGGCCCCACTGGTGGGGGGATTTGATGGGGGCAGCCTCTATCCTCGAGGCCCAGCTTGGCCCACCTCCCTTTTTCTGTGATGCCTGAGTTTGTCACGTGCTGGGAAGGCCTGCTGGGAGTGGGGCCCCGGCGCTTGCTCACACAACCCCGATGCAGCAGAGCTCGGAGGCCCCTGGGTCACTCCGGTAGGAGCTGCAGGCTCCAGAGTCTGCCTTAATTCTTGTCTTTTCCCCTCAAACACCGAGACTGTAAGTAGGAGGGAGTAACCGTACCAACTCCTGTCCCGCCGCAGCTCCCACAGGGCCCAGCAAGACTGGAAGAATGGAGTTCACCTTCACCACTGGTTCTCGAATTTTCTC